TTTGTGACAATGAGACAACTAGTCTACCAGACAAACAAGGAAAATTCTTTGGTTATGGCTTCAGTGAGTACTAGTATGAAAGGAAGAGAGCTGCTGGCATTATCTGTGAATGGTGCAGTGATGGTGGATCCCGGTTTGTCCCCACCTGCTGACATCTCAGATACCTTCACCAGTTCTCCAATCTGCATGCTCCTCACACTTCCACCACTGGCCTTGTTGGGGTACCATGGGGTGAATTTGGGTATGAATCCATCTTGTTTCTATGCTGAAAGTTGGAATGGCTTGTTTCAATATATATCATATATTTGAATACATTGAGTTCTCTGGAGCCATTCTTTATGTGACACTGGTAGGTCCCTAATTCTTTTGGTGATTCTGTTCCATGAAGAAATAGTATTTTTACTTCTTGTATTGTATTCTTTATATTTTAATATAATCACTTAGAGTCTGTTCTTTCCTATTGAGAGAAGAAAGGGAGTGGATCTGGATGAGAGGCGACTTGTGGAGGAATTGGGAGGAGTAGACAGAGGGGAATAAACCACAATCAGGATGTGTTTTATAAGAAAAGAATCTATTTTCGAAAAGAGTAAAATTTAAAAGGAACAGATTCTACTCTTATGCCCCATTCAATTTGATGTTATTTTAAAAGTCATTCAAATCTATTAATTCCACTTCCACTAACCTTTTATTGTGGTACAGACATTTTCCCCATGAAGGTAGATGTTTCCATTTGAAACGTAGGATGCAAAGTTCACAGGATCTAGAACTGTTCCTACCATGGTTCCAGTCAGTGCGAACCAATTGACTCTCTCTGTTCCCTCAGCCTGCCTCTGTTTCCATCTGAACTTTAATGTCCTTTCTCTGCAGGGGCTGTAATAGTGGATTTTCGATCTATGGCTGAAAGTAGCAGTCTTACACATTGCTCTCAGTTATTCCTTAGACGTTATGAGACATAAGAGTGATGCAGTTGCATTTTCACAGGGTGTTAGCTCTGGTGCACAGAACACTTTGCAATGGGGAATTTGAAGCACGAAAAAGGTGAGGCTGAGCCTTGACCAGACGCCCTCAGCAAGGAGACAAGTGCACTTAGCTCTTGCTCTCTACTGAAAGGCTTCTTTCCAAGCCCTTCCCAAGAGTGTGGGTTAGATGATGACTATTTTAAGGTTACCTTATTGATTAAGATTCATTACAGTTATGCTTCACTAAACCATTATAGATACAGAAGAATGAGAACATATAGAGCATCCTTCACACACAGACACACACAGACACACACAGACACAGACACAGACACACACACACACACACACACACACACACAGGTACCTACTCACTGTAAAATAACTTCCAGGTCTGTCATCTGCACTACTACATGGCTAGTGGTGACCTCATCAAAGCCCTGATTTTCCTGTGCTTTTCATCAGACTGTACTGTTCCTTCATTGATTTTCTGCTCTCCAGCATCACCCTCCAAGGATGGAGAGCAATAGGAACAATTGCTCTAATTTTGGGTGGCATTTCTCCATGACAGACACATTTATTAATGGCTTACTAAGTGACAGGAAGTGGCCTAGGACCTGGAAATGTTGGTAGACGTGTACTAGGAACTGGACATTAACCAGGGCACTGTCTAAAATATCTGCCCTTGTGGAGTTTATGTGATACTGTGGTCAACAGATGTCAACATTGGTTAATGAATCAACCCACTGTGCTTTCCAGTGCACTAGGAGGCAGAGATTTTCTGTTAAAGCAAACAGGGGTAGGGGTGGGAGGAGAGAGGATTGGGTGTTGTCAGTGGTGATTGATGAGCAAGCACTCAAGTTTTTTGAGATTAATATTACATCATCTCCTCTCTCCTTTTTTCCCTCCAAAATCTCCCCTATTGTCCTCCTGTGTTCTCTTTCAAATTCATTGTCTCCTTTTCTGTTATTGATTGTTGTATTCATAGTGCATACATATTCCTAATACAAACTGTTCAGTCTGTATAATGTTACCTGTAGGTATATTTTCAAGGATGAGCATTTGGTATTAAATAACATATGTGTGTGAACCTTTTGGGGAAGTGTATCATTCCCTGGACTCAGCACCCCTTAGCTCTCTCTACCTGTATAAGACTTCATTATCCCCAGCTTCTACCTCCACTTCACAACCTTGTTCATGTTAGCATGTATTTTGGGGTGATCATTGTTCAGCTCTTGTTTGTGTAATCTTCTCTGTGAGGCTTTATGTGTGTAGCTTCTGACATTCCTAGGAGACACGGTCTCACAGGAAACTCTCTGATCTTCTAGCTGTAACAATCTTTCTGTGCCCTCTTCCACAATGGTCCCTGAGCCTTGGCTGCAGGCATTTTGTTGTAGATATATCTGTTCAGAACCCTCTTCACAACTCTGCATTTTGATTGGTTGTGGTTTTCTGTACTGATCACAGTGTGTTGCAAAGTGATGTTTCCTTAGTGATTGCTGAGGAGTAGACTTATCTGTGTGTATGAGGAAACATACTTAGGATGTAGTTGGGGTTTATGCTGCTTTAGTGAGTTGTGAAATCTCTTGCAAGATTAATTTTATATATATATATATATATATCCAGGACTCTGTGCATCATGAGCTCTTTTCTTTTTTTGAGTTTTTAAAATTTAAATTAGAAACAAGCTTCTTTTACATGTCAATCTCAGTTCCCTCCCCGTCCCCTCTTTCCCTTGCCCCCTCCAACCCTCCTATCTCAACCCATTTCTGCCCCCCAGGGAGAGTGAGTCCTTCCTTGTGGGGATCTTCAAAGTCTGTCATATCATTTTGAGCAGGGCCTACACTCTCCCCAGTGTGTCTAGGCAGGGAGATTTTTCCTCTATGAAGAGAGGGATCCCAAAATTCATTTGTGTACTAGGGGTAAATACTAATGCACTACCAGTGGCCCCATAGATTTTCTATACCTCCAAACTGACTTTCTCCTTCAGGGTTTCTGGAACAGTCCAATCCTGATTTCCCAGCTATCAGTCTGGTGTCCATGAGAAATCCCTTGTTCAGGTCAGCTGTTTCTGCATGTTTCTCCAGCCTGGTCTTGACCACTTTGCTCATCACTCCTTCCTCTCTGCATGTGGGTTCCAGAGGTCAGCTCAGTATTTAGCTGTGAGTGTATGTGTCTGCTTCCATCAGTTACTGAATGAAGGTACTGAGATGGCATATAAGCTAGTCATCAATCTCACTCTTGGAGAAGGGCTTTTAAAGTAGCCACTAGCCTATTCCTTAGATTGTTAGTTGGGGTTGACATTTTAGATCTCTGGACATTTCCCTAGTGTCAGAATTCTCTTTAGAACTCTAATGGCTCACTCCATGGTGGTATTCATTTTCTTGTTCTACTCCATTGCTCCCCTGACTAGATTGCCCTGCTCCCTCCTGTCCTCCTCTACTCTCCCCTTCTCCCCTTCTCTTTCTTCTAACTCCAGCTCCCCTCCCCTAATGATCCCCATTTCCTTAGGAGATCTTTCCTTTTCCCCTTCTCCTGAGGACCATGTGTGTCTTTCTTAGAGTTCTCCTTCTTTTCTAGCTTCTCTGGCAGTGTGGAGTGTAGGCTGATACTTATTTGCTCTAGAACTAAAAATCCATATATGAGTGAATACATACCGTTTTTGTGTTTTTGCAACTGGGTTACCTCACATAGGATGGTTTCTTCTAGTTCCATCCATTTGCCTGAGAATTTCAAGATAGCATGAGCTCTTTTCAACTGAGCCTACTGTTTCTAATATGTGCCTCTTTTCTTTGAAAGGATGGAAGAAGAGCAACAGCTTGAGAATTCAAGATCGCTCCAAAAGTAAGCAAACCTAGCTGTAATCAAGAGAAAGAAATGTGTCAGGTTTCCTTTACCTCATCCAAGGTACAGGAAAGGAAATCCCTCTTCCTCTCAAGATGCAAAGCAGGAGATGCTTAAATGTGAATGCCACTTCTGCCAGAAGTATGTGGGAAACACATCTGGAATGTCTGCGAGGACCAGTACAGGAGCAAACATTCATTCAAGCTCTCTAGAAAAGCTGACACTAGACCTCAGTAACTTGACACTCAAGTGGTGTACCAACCATCCCCTTCTTATGCAAGAAAGCACAGAGAAATGAAAATGTGCTTTGGAAACAGAACAGCAAGAGTCTATTTATAATGCTTCTTCGGGAATGGACAGAATGACTCTGGCCTTGACATCCAACTTTTTTTTTTGAAAAATATAAAGTTTTATATTATTTACATGACATATGAATACAGGTTCCAATATCATACAAACATTACATTAGAAACAGTGGGAGGGAATGATGTAATTCTCTGCCTTTAAGATGCAAAGCCTATTATTACATGTTCTCCTACTCTGACTCCTGTATTGTCTATTATCCCCATACATAACCAAGTTGGTACCTGAGAGGCTGGAAGACTACTGATGAACTTCAAAACCATCTATTTTATTTGACCTTTCTTTATTTTCTAAACTTATTGCATTTTAAGGGTCTGTACACCTCTACCCTACCCACAGCTAAGTGTACTCTCAGTTTCTCAAATGGTCAAGTATTAACCACATCAACTGTTAATGTGTATACATACATACATATATATATATATATATATATATATATATATATATTTAAAATTCAAACATAAAAATGCTAGCCTCATTGTGTAGGGTATATATCTAATCTCAGGAAATCCCTCTTGCTTTCCTGTTTCAGTGCTATCAACTATGTTTTTTTAAAAAGACAATAACTAGAATAATTCATCTCACAAATTAATAAAAAACTAAGATTAAAAATTCTACATTATAGTTTTATTTGTATTTAAAAATACACTGGAATTTCTGCATAGGCCCATGATAGAGCTTATTTTCGACATGCATTCCTTCGGTTTGAAGACATGGTATGTCTGACAAGTCCTTTCTCAAGCTGAACACCAAGATGGGGAAAGTCCTGTAGCTTTTGCTGTCGCTGCTGCCAATGAAGCAAGTGGCTTTCTTGCTGCAGGAGCTGGGTGCCTCTCATTTGTCCTTTATCACCTGAACAATTTGCTGACCATAGTGATAATAGCTGTATGCTGACGCAGCTGTAGTGAAGGCTGTACAACACCATAGTATCTGAAGATAAATGCTGTCAGCATGATTGAAAACTGGAGCTGCCAAAGAAGCTGCCACCAAAATTAACTGGACTGCTGTTTTTACCTTGCTGATGAATGTGGGTTTTAATCTAGCAGTAGCATAGCAAGGATTGAAGTACTTAGCTAGTGTTCGCGGTGTTGGCAGAGTTCGGTATCTGTCATAAAACACTGCAGCAATCAACATTACATCTCTTGAAATTATCATGTAAGTGAGTGGGACAAATCCGTTAGCCCAGCTAGAGAAAAAAAAAAAAAAAAAAAAAAAAAAAAAAAAAAAAAAAAACAAAAAACAAGTGCAACATTAAAATCTTCTTCAAGAATCAGATAGCCCAAAACTGGGGCTAAGCCAATTCTTGTCATCGACAACATATTTGGGATTGTCCATGGATTTCCATACAGCTGGCAGCGCTCGCCTGGACCCACAGGCACCCAGGGCCTGTGCGGTAGCGCCTCCTCCTGCCTCCGCCCCGGGGCCGCCTCCTTCCCTGCGCCCAAGCAGTGGTTCCACGGGCCGGCGCTGGCCAGCCAGAAGGCGAATGCAGCTGGGTGCAGCCTCCAGCGCTCAGTTAGGCAACCCAGGCAACAGGCCGCGGGCGGGCGGCACCAGGGTTCTGCAAGAGCCGCCCCTCCGGAGTCGCTCCCCAGGCGGCCTGAGGACCACGCTAAGGGGCCCCCACCTGCAGCGCACCACATGCCAAGCCAGCATGGCCTTGGGGCCTTGGCGCACTCCAAGCCTCGAGAAATCAGCAGCCCCGGGTTCCCGCAGCCAGCTTCTCCACAGAAACCCAGTAACGCCAAGGCCACAAGGATGTCTCCATACTCATTTCCACACTCCAGACATCCCGCTTATCGACATCCAACTTTGATGACGACCAGAGCCTACAGGATCGTGAATGTCAACTTCACCAACCAATCCCGGGGTGAAATCGTTTAGGGAGCATCTTCAGAAGGAGTAACAATGTCCAGTCTTGTGACAATAACACCATCACTTGCTGAGACTCAAACCTATTCCAGAAATGTTGCATTCTTTTCTTTAGTAGTTTTGACATCCTTCCGGGGACATTGTGGGTTAGATGCTCCTAGGCAAAGGAAACCACATAGCAGGGTTTCTATACTCACCATCTGCTATTCTCTTGGGCAAGTTAACATTTTCCTCTCTTCAGGTTTGAGGTTTTTCGTCTTTTCTTTTTTCAAAATTACCTCAGTTCCATTTTATTGACTGGAGGGCAAAAGGAACACCAGGTCTGGTGGAGCTCTCTCTCTCTCTCTCTCTCTCTCTCTCTGTGTGTGTGTGTGTGTGTGTGTGTGTGTGTGTGTGTGTGTGTGATTTTTTTGTTTCAAGGCTGTTGGCTGATGTTTAGTTTGTGTTACGACAAGTCAAGCTCACCTGGTGGTGATTCAAGCCTATAATCCCATCGCTAGAGAGGTGGAAGGAAGGTCAGAGGATGCTGAGAGGTAAGAAGTCACTGGTGGATGCTCCTCAGCTTCTCTGATGTGCCATGTACTTACCCCATTTTTTTAACTTCTGGTTTTTTTTGATTAAGGTTCATTTTACTTATGCTTCACTGAATTATCACAGATACAGAAGAATGAGAATATATCAATCATTCTTCTTCCAGTTTGTCCCATGACAGTTTACCATACTCTTTACACAACTATATAACACTTAAAACGTGTGCTTGACACTGGCACAATTGGTATGTACAACTCTCTTTCACTGTATCATATGTGTAACTTCATGTAATTACCACCACAATCAATATTTTCTCAGTTTGATCAAATGGAGACAATAAAATGCATCCTTACTGGAATTAATAACTGGTTCAAGGTTGGTTTTTTTGTATTTGGTTTGCTTTTGGTGTACACAGTTGCATGAGTTTGCATGTGTGTGTGTGTGCAATTGTGATTTCTTTTCTTTTCACTTTTTTAGGTGTAAGTCTTTTGGGTCTCTCCTTTTAAATCACTATGTCCATTTTTGATATGGTAGTGTTTGCTTTATCGTAGTATATTTTATTTAGTTGTTTGTTATCTGTTAGAAATTGTTCTTTTCTAATGAGAGACAGAAAGAGAGTGGATCTGAAGGCAGGAAGGTTGTGAGGAATTGGGAGGAGTGGAGGGAGGGGAAACCATAATCATCAGGATGTACTATATGAAAAGAGAGTTTACTTTCCATAAAATAAAAAAAAACCACTGTGATATGAAGATAATGATGTTTGGAATGTATTGTTCAGTTACTTTATCAAGAGAATACCAGTAATTAAATATCTCTTGTTTCAATTTGTGTTTGTGTGTGGGTGAGTCTCTGTGTGTATGTGTGTGTGTGTGTGTGTGTGTGTGAGAGAGAGAGAGAGAGAGAGAGAGACAGAGACAGAGAGAGACAGAGACAGAGACAGAGACAGAGACAGAGAGACAGAGATTGTGTAGGTGACTGGATGTGCATGTAAGTACACTGTCCATAGAGGGCACATTGTGACTTGGGAATCCCTGGAGGTCTAGGGTACTTTGCATTTTCAGGGTGCCACACAGGTTTTTCTGAAACCAACTCCCAATCATCTCCAGTGGCAGCACATGTTGCTCTCAACTGCCATACCCTCTGTATTTTATTGTGTTCACAAAACTGCCTGTGCACCTTTGCTATTTCTTTACCATTATTCCAGGAACACTGAACTTCCCCAGTATTGGCCTGAGTAAAAGTGGGACCAGCTTGTTAATGTAACACAATGAAGGTCTGACGAAATCATGAGTGGGGAATGAGGTCTAATTAGAGCTTGAGGGGCTGTGGAAGACAAATGTGAAACAGGATGGCATCCCTTCAAGGGAAAAATTGTAAGATGCTATCTGGAGGACCTCTCTCCATGGTACTCTACTACAGTATCAATGTATCACCCATGTAACTTTCTGTATATCAGTACTGGAACCAGGCCCAGTTGTAATGTGACCCTTACCGTCCCAGGTACATGCTAAAGGCAAAGCAAAGGACACTTCCTTGACTGTAGAGCCAACACTCAGGTTGGTATAGACAACATGCTGTATTGGCTTAACTGACATATTGAGCTCTGGGGATTCACTGGGGAAGGTGGAGAGATCCTAGAAGAGATGATATCAGAATTCTGGTCACTCAGAGGGAATGGGACCTGGACCCTAATCTATGGAGGTGTGCATTTGAGACATCTCAGACTGTTCATGCATTACCAAGAGGAAGTGGAAAGGAGGCAATTAGAGGTCCATGTGTTCTGAGAAGGTAGGTGTTAAGGGATTTTAACTGACCCTGCATAAGTTTGCCATTTGCTGTCTGAATTGTTATGAGTTCAAATGTGCACCTTCTCTTGGATGTGTATGTATTCAAAAAGTTCAGGCAGCACATATTGATTTTGAAGGGCTTAAAAAGAAAAAGTTGGCCACAAATATAGATGGGTGTGGAAGTTTGAGTAGATCTTGGAAGAACTGGGGGGAAAGGGATGGGGCTTATGAAAACAAATTTTATGAAACTCTCAAAGAACATATGAGAACTATGATTTTAAAGGCATTGATAGAGGTCATGGATCCTAAATTTCTCTCTCATTTCCTGTCTCAACTGGGTATGCTGCCCCCTGCCATATGTAGTCCTACAAACAGTTGAAACTTTACTGCTTAGGCTCTCAGCCTCCGAAATTGTGACTGAAAAAATTGTGAATGAGGTTCGAAGTACAGTCATTCATTACTGAAATTAGAATTTCATTAGGAGAAAGTCTCTTCTTCCAGCAGGTATCCATGCCAGGCCGTTAATAGTCACAGTTGATTTCTTACGTCGACACTGCAAAGTTTCTCTCTGGTGATTGCTGAGCAGAGGGATTCTAGGAAAAAGAACACGTGAAAGTGCTAGTCCATGGAATCACAAGAAAGACAAGATGGTAAAGTGATGTGTGCCCAAATCTTTTGACCTATGTGATGGAAGAAGAGAACAGACTCCCTGTGTTGTTCTCTAATAGCCACATATGTATGTCATGCCATGCACATGTATGAACACACAACCACACACACACACACACACACACACACACACACACACACACACACACACACACACACGCTTTTGAAAATAAGAATATAATCTGAAAAATTAGAAACAATATTCTGGAAAGCATGTGGATTCACAGGTGACACCATCTTCAGTTACCCAGGTGCTTTTCTGGATAGGAACATGAGGAACCCACTTTGGATGGCATAGTTTACTGTGTCCAGTGCCTTTTCTCAGCCACGCACTGTAGCAACAAAGGACAAAGTGATCCCACAGGCTGACAGAGAACCCCAGAATCTCTTACTGGTGAGCCACTTCTTCCTATGGATGTGCATATTCCTAGAAAAGGTGATATTCCAGCTGGGCGTTGGTGGTGCACACCTTTAATCCCAGCACTCGGGAGGCAGAGGCAGACAGATCTCTGTGAGTTCGAGGCCAGCCTGGTCTACAGAGCAAGTGCCAGGATAGGCTCCAAAGCTGCACAGAGAAACCATGTCTCTCAAAACAAAAGAAAAGGTGATATTCCTACTGGTATCCCTTCACTTGACATGATTGAAAGAATCAGTGCACCCCATGTCCTTCACATACAAGAGAGCTAGATAGGCAGTGAGATGTTGAATTCCTTTTTGCTCAAGCTGTCTTTCTTTGTTCTCAAAATTGTTTGGAAGTCATCTGCACACTGTGTGGACATGTGGGAACAAGCCTGTCTCTTAGATGAATGTGCCCCTAACTCTTCCCAGAGGACTCCCCTTAGTAGCTGCAAGGAAAAGTTGCCAATCAGGCAAGCAGCAGTCCCATTTGGACAGTGAGGATATGAGCCCATATAACAATTAATATGGGGCAGGAGAGATGGCTCAGAGGTTAAAGAGCACGGACTGCTCTTCCAGAGGTCCTGAGTTCAATTCCCAGCAACCACATGGTGGCTCACAACCATCCATTATGAGATCTGGTGACCTCTTCTGGTGTGCAGATATACATGGAAGCAGAATGTTGTATACATAATAAATAAAATAAAATCTTAAAAAAAACCAGTATTACTGGAGGTGTGTGGGTTTGGGGAACACAATCTTGCTGGAAGTGTGCCTATCAGGTCAGCAGGTTAGGCATATTGAAGGACTAAAAGCAGTGTTTCTTTTTCTGTCTTTTCTCCTGGTGTCCATTATTGTGGGGAATTACCAATACAGAGCCTTGTAAAAATACAAGGGAATTTAATAGGGAAAAGCTTTACTTAGAGTGACCTAGCCAGCCAGCAGGGCAGCAGTAAGTACAGCAAGCTGAAGATGAAAGGGAAAGCAGAGAGCCACGTGAGTGTCCCTAACCCTTAATCCTTCCCTATGTCACCCTGACCACGTCCTTGCAGGCATGGTCAGGCACACTTGTAGCAAACCCCTAAGCAGGCATGGCTACAGTCTCCCCTACAGTGCATGGTTTTGGTTCCTAAATGCCCACATTGCCCTGAAGCCCTATTGATGGTCCATTGACTTGCAGAAGGAGAGGCTTTTCCCTCCCACAATTTTATCTGTGTTGTATACCCAAACATCACAATGCAAGGAAATCCATTGAAGTTGGAAGTTGTTGAGCAATTTAAGCTGGTTACCCCAGCATTAACACTACTGGAGGCCAAACTTCAGACCAGCCTCAGTAAGCCAGCAGTGGTCAGAAATGTTGAGGACCACCATTAAGAAAGTAGGCAAAGGTGTAACCCCATG